GTAGCTCGGTTTAAATATATTTTGCATCATTAATCACTAACCCTACATAGGGGACCGGTTATTATGACAACACACCTTGTGTTGTTATTGTAACAACAATAGTCTCCAACCAATAGGAAGTTAGGGTTGTGATGACTTTTTATTAGATGAGTTGACCTAGTGTAAAATCAAAGCAGGGGTATAATGGTCATTATGAAAAATATGTTTAAATAATAATAAAAAATTAAAAATTAAAAATAAAAATAAAAAAATAAAAATAAAATTTTTTTTTTTATTTTCGGCCAAAAAATTTGGTCGCCGGAATTCTGCCACCGGTCGCCGGAAATTGGGTCTCGGTCACCGGAATATGCTTTTTGTCGCCGGAATATGCTATTTGTCGTCGGAATATGCTTACCGGCGTCGGAATATGCTTACCGGCGTCGGAATCTAGTCATCGGGGCCGGAATATGCCTATCGGCGTCGGAATCTGCTCACTGACGGTCACCGGAGTTCGGTCAACGGTCTTCGTTGACCGGTCAACGGTCAACGACCACCGGATGTATGGTCTGCATTGTGAGATTTATGGTTTGGTTTCTCATATTTTTTTATGCCTTTTGTGGTTTGCTTTATCGTGTTTGTGGTTTGCTTTATCGTGTTTGTGGTTTGCATTGAGAAGTTTCTGGTTTGCTTTAAAAAAACTTTGTGGTTTGCATTGAGGGGTTTCTGGTTTGTTTTAATATATTTGTGGTTTGCATTAGGACGTTTATGGTTTGCTTTTTTGTGGTTTGATTCACTGTGTTTGTGGTTTGCATTAGGAGGTTTCTGGTGTGCTTTCGCAAATGTTGTGGTTTGCTTTGTGAGGTTTGTGGTCTGTTTTAGGAGATTTGTGGTATGCATTAGAAGGTTTCTGGTTTGCATTAAGAAGTTTTTGGTGTGCTTTCGAAACTTTTGTGGTTTGCTTTGCAAGGTTTATGGTTTGTTTTAATATATTTGTGGTCTACATTAGGACGTTTTTGGTTTGTTTTACAGTGTTTGTGTTTTGCTTTACCGTGTTTGTGGTTTGTATTAGAGGGTTTCTGGTGTGCTTTTCAAAATATTTATGGTTTGTTTTGTGGGGGTTTCTGATATGTTTTAGCGAATTTGTGGTTGCATTAGGAGGTTTACGATATGTTTTTGTGGGTTATTTTATTGCGTTTGTGATTTGCACTAGAGAGTTTTTGGTGTTAGAAATATTTGTGATTAGAAATATTTGCTTTCCTACTGCTGGCCCACTTTGCTTATGTACTCGAAAAGGTAAAGACTATCAAAGCTGCTGCAGCAGCCATTACAGGGACTGTTCCAAGTAAACTCTTTAATTTTCCAGGGAGGATGAACCATTACAGGACTGTTCCAAGTAAACTCTTTAATTTTCCAGGGAGGAATTTCATCCGAGAGGGAGATTGATTCAATATTATTCAACAAGAATCCTGCAATTGGTACCGTAATTAGTAAAATCCAATACTTTCCCTCCTCTAGCTTCCTCTCTCTTCTCCTTCAAGCTCTTCTTCTCTTCCTTGTCTCCCCTCCTCTCTTCCTCCAAGCTTCCGATCCCGTCTCCGTCTTCTCTCTCATTCGACCGCCCTGCTTCCACCTACGACTCGCTCGCCCAAACCCTCAATTCGTCCGTTATTTCCAAAGTTGACTGGAATGGATGCCGTTTCTCGAGGTCTATTTGGTGATAAAACACACACTTCCCCTGCTCGCGATCGCCGCCAAACGCAGCTGCTCGCTAGTCGCCCTCGTCGCCTTGCTATGCCTGTCCCAAAATAATTAATCGCCTCCCCCCTGAGACTTTCCGTCCCAAGCTGCTTTTCTTTTCCCTAGCAATTCCCAAGCCCAAAACGTGTGTCCTTCGCTTCTTGCCGCCTCGATGCGCCAGCTGATTCATGACTACGCCTGGGATTCGGTCGTCTCGAGCTCGATTGACGGTAACGCCATTGAATTGTGGGTTCTCTTCTGTTAGGATCGAATTTGATTGTTCTGTTTTCCCCCTCTTTGATGGATTGTCGGAGTTTTTATCGCGGCGGATCATAGAAGGATTAGAGGATTTGTGACGCCGGGCGGTGGAAGAAAGAAGGAACAGTGGGAGATGGGGAGGAACGGAAGAAACTGGATGAGCGGATTAGGGTTCGGCGGTGGAAGAAAGAAGGAACGGCGGGAGATGGGGAAGAACGGAAGAAACTGGATGAGCGGATTAGGGTTTGAGGATTATTTGTTTAATTTTAATTTGATATTTTTTGTTAATTTACTTATTTACCCTTAATGAATTCTGTTGTTATAATAACAACATTAGGGATGTTGTTATACTATCCTGACCCCCCTACATAGTTGTTTGTATTGTCCATCGGCTGCATTTCTAACTCTAATGTTCTGCATAGGGCTGGGAAACGGTGCGGTCTGGTCCAGACCAGACCATATATACGGTCTACGGTCCAGACCGAGAGGCTAAAGTATAGACCACAGACCAGACCACAGACTATACGGTCTGGTCCAGACCACGCCTGTGCGGTCTGGTTCGGTCTGGTCTGGTCCAGATAGACCACACTCAACGAAAAATGAATAATTTGTTTAGTCAACCACACAAAAAATTGAACCAATAACCAAGAAAATAATTGTTATTTGCCTTAAAACATTAATCCTAACATGCATGAATAATTTTGATACTCTAAATCTTAGTACATAACAAAGATACAAAGTAAAAGCATCCCAGCTTGCACCATAATGTCATAAACATTAACATTAATGTCATATGGAGACACGATTATCTCTACTCTGTGGTTAAATGTGGTTGTGAATGAAGGAGGGAAGAGATTCACAAAATTGAAGGTTGAGACTTGGGTGTCGTTGTGGAGTTTGGAGAGTGGTCGAATGGGCTGTAACACGTAGTGACAAGTCAGTTGGGTCTACGGTCTGGTCCGGTAAACCGCGGTCCTAGACCAGACCAGACCAAGAGATCAAATCATTAAAATAATACAGACCATGGGACCAGACCAGACCATACTTCACGGTCTACGGTCCGGACCAAACTGTGCGGTACGGTTTGGACCACGGTTTTTCTAACGGTCTGGTCTATTTTCCCAGCCCTAGTTCTGCAGAATACTGTATTAATTGAGAATAGGGATGGCCAAAATGAGACTAACTCCTAAATAGCCGTCCAAGTCCAAATCTGACTTGACTACGTAGAATAAAGTTCGAATTGAATGAACTAGCTTGGGCCGTCAACGTAACCCATTTCAGCCCATACAAATGGATCCAAGTTCGAAAGTGCTATGCTTTTCCTAAAAGGACTCGGAGTAGGTTGCCTATATATACGAGGCTTGGCTGTCTTTTATATATATATATACAGCTTATATACAAAATGACAGAAGCATCAATGAAGAAGCAGGAGGAGCACGGATGGGATGCTGCGGTGCTATTCTCTACAAACGGCAAAGGTGCGTCTTTGTATCGGATGAACATCGACAAGGACGACGGCCAATTGGCCGACACCGGAGCCCGCCTCAACGAAAGATGGACGGAAGGCATGGGTTTCGCTTTGGTAAAACAGAAGCTGTATGCTTTTGGCCGTATCCCAGGAATAGATTCTCTAGATTTCTTCACATGTGACCTCGAGTGCAAGGCGAAGCCGAACGAATTTAACAAGGCAGGGGAGTTGCTGGCACCCAAGGCATCCCCGATCGTTATTCCTTTCCAGGACAAGGAGATCATCATCATCTCCACGGGTGTCCGTCGGCCGGAAGGCTATGTTGATCGGCCCAAGCTTCCTTATTGTGAGATTTTACATCTCCCGGGTGCAGATGGCGGCGGTGCTTATCGCCTGGAAGGTATTAGTACTCCTTGGGACGATACATATGGCAAGCGTTTTGGGTTTAGCCCCATCTCCTCTGGTCACGTGGTGCTGGGGAATGACGTCTATGTTCATATGAAGGCTGGCCCATGGGGTTTCAAGTCGCGGCTCTACGTTCTCAACATGATCACTCGCAAGTGGAGCATCTGTCGCGATCCCAGCGGGTGTTGTTATACGGGCGATCGTCTTGTGGCCGTATCACCTCTGCCGCCCGCTCTGAACCCGATCTATGGGTACTGGTATTCTTTCAAACCACATCGTCAAGGGGGTAGCTGTTTTCGGTGGTGGTCAATCCTGAATTCGAGGATCCTAATAAGAAGCGCAAGGAAGATTTTCGTCGGGGCGATGAGTTTGAAGGATTTGGCAGAGCTAAATCACCCGGGAAACATGGCTCAGCGTCCTGCAAGTCTCCACGAATTTGTCCCATCCCTAGAGAAGCTTGAACATCTTCTTACCACCAACTACTCAGGGTATGAAGGAGGCAAGGGATGGGTGATGGCTTTGGACCCTCATGATGATAACTTCTTGTTTGCTCTATTCCTGTGTTTCCAAGATGATGTTGAATTTAAGGATCACCTCTTGACCTGCAAGTTTGAACTGTTCGAAAATTCGAAAGATGATGCTGCTGCCGCCTGCTCGAATGATAAATCATCAAGTCGTGGCTATGACTGCAACATCTTGTCTCATAAGCTCTACGTAGACTGCTTCCCTCACAACTCGGAACCTTTATATACCTTCACTCCTGCAGACTACTATAGGGTGCTTATGTAGACAGACTATCATCAATATATATGTATCCAGTTCTTATTCTATTCATTTTTTGTTTTTGTTTTGAACTTCAATAATCAATATATATAAAAGGTTTGCATTTGAGTGCTTTCACTTTCACACAAAAGCAAGCATACTAAAATCCTATACTGCTCTTTGGGCCAAGATCGATCCTATGGCTGGACCGGGCTTTTGTTTTGTCTCGACAGTCGGTTTCACTTCACACGCTGACAAACGAGAGTCCACGGTATTTAAAATGCAGTCGCCCTCACCTAACAACTGTCTCCAATATTTATGACACTCTTCAACCTCCCAAACAAATACCAATCTGCTCTCCCTCACCTTTTTCCCTCCTCTGTCTCTTTCCCTTACCCCTCTGCTTCTGTCAGAAAGACCTCTGAGTATTTTTTACCCCAACCAAATTAAGAAAATACCAATAATGAAAATCCTCTGAGAATGGCGGACCATCCTAATGAATCTACTGCTACCTTCCCCCCGTACCCTTTTCACCTTATTGCCTTTGCTGTTAATAGCCCACCCACTCCTCCCCAGCAGATTTGCTTTGCTTCCCCCTTCAAAAGGCTAAGCTAACTAGCTAGCTCACTCCATTTCCCACTCTTTCTTCGCCTGTTCTTCTTCTTCCTTTCTCTCCGATGGCTGCCGCGCTGGAATGCTGGTCGAGCCGGGGGAGCACCGACGAGGACTTGGTGGAGCAGGTTCTGATGCGGTCCCACGACAGATCGGAGGCGGGCTCGGCCGGCGTCGCCGATCACGAGAGGGACTCCTCCGCCGCCGCCTCATCGGATAAGAGGAAGCGGTTCCAGAGGCTGAGCAGGAACGTCTCCGAGGCCATTACCTCGCTTAAGAACACCCTCAACCTCGATTCCATCAGGGACGGGAACTCGTTTTTGATGAATCAGCAGCAGCAGCAGCAGCAGGGGATTAGTGGTGGTGGTAAAGGGAAGGGTGAGAGTTGCCGGAAAGTTGTGTGGGCTACCGTCGTACGGAATCTCACCCAGTTGTACCCAGGGAGTCAGCTGCCGGAGAAGCTCGTTTCCAATATTAAGAAGCATTACGATTCCTTGCCTTTGAGGTCAGTTTGTTTTGCCCTCTGGACTTGTTTGGGTGTCTTTCAAGCTTGAATTTTGTGCAATTTTTAGGGATTTGTTTTTTTTTACCCCGTCTGAACTCTGTGATGCATTTTGTTTTTACAGTTACTCACAGGCGGAATTTGATATGAAAGAGGTGTTTCTACACATGAAGTTGATCGAGCAGGCATTGGCGGATGATCATCCTGCAATCATGCTCCATGAGATTTCTGACGATGAGGTACATGGTTCTGTATTCAAGCTCACATTTGCCTTGCAATTCATCGATTTCGTGGCCTGCGATGTCCGGTGCATTGGACAGTGCTTCCATATGTTGCAAGAAGATACAGATCTTTGAAAAAAAGGGGTTTACTTTAGGGTCATTCTTCTTTTGGTTCAAGCTGGTCAAGAGAAATTGTTCAAAACCCGAATCGAGAGTGCTCTAAAATTCGCGGCAAAGAAGCCTAAATCAGCAACGGTGAAGCTCCCCTTTGGGCTTTGCGGGTGCCAGGAAGAGAATTCAAAAGGGAGAGACTTTGGCGAGATTGAAGAGGATCCCTGTGATCTAAGTTACAGAAATGGAATTGAGAACGTAGGAAAATTGTCAAGATTCAACATTGACATGCCCTTGCCTAGTTCATCTTTTGTTGTTTCAGTGATGAATGGCAAACGATCCAATCAGGTGGTGATGAGCTTGGAAAATGGCTTCTGAATTCTGATAATCTCGAGTTCACTGACCAGGTTGGACCGACCTCTTTTAAGGGAGTGTTCAAGGGGCAAAAGGGTTAGAATTGAGAAGCTAAAAGGGTGTGAAAAGGGAACTCGTATCAGTTTTGAGCTGCGAAATGATCTACTGAAGCTAATGACTTGTGGCATAAGAATATTCTGCAGTTTCATGGTGTTTGTGTTGATGAAAATCATGGATTGTGTGTGGTGACGAAACTGATGGAAGGTGGTTCTGTAATGAACTCATGTTTAGGAATAGAAAAGCTCCAAGCTAAAGACATGTTTAGGATTGCTGTGGATGTAGCAGAAGGGCTTAAATTCTTGAATGATCATGGAGTGGCTTATAGAGATCTGAACACTCAAAGAATTTTGTTGGATAAACATGGGAATGCTTGCTTGGCGGACATGTGTATTGTGGCTGCCTGCAAGGATAGTGGGTGAGGTTCTGGAGTATGAAACTGATGGTTACCGCTGGCTAGCCCCTGAGGTTTGTTCCTTGATCAAACTCTTACACATTTTAGTAAAACGAATTTGACTCTTAAGTCTTAAGTCTCAACATAAGCTGGTTCATGTCATTATCTTAGTTCTCTTGTTTTTGCGCTAAACTTTCTTATTAATTATTCATGCTTAATCGTAGCTTGGCTACTGTCATTTTAGAATAGGCAACTGCCATAATGTTTCCAATTCTCCTGAAATGAGTTCTTTGGATTTGAATAGTTATCTTACTATTGGTACTAGGCTTCTTCTTTTTGGTTTACCTTTGTTTAGATCTATATCTATCTCTCCATTTGTCTGTCTATCTGTCTCCTTTTGAACTGTGTAAATGATTTGGACCATGTTTTGCTTTTCCACCTATAATTTTTCAATTTAGTATAACATGTTTTGCTGGTTATGGCTCCATTGATTTCATTTTGGTGTGATTACTGTTGGTTCTATATTTTCTAGTATTCTTTGCGCACCTAAAAAGGCATTATTCCACTATCATTATCATAATTATGTAGGCATGCGAAACCCGTAATCATACCTCTCTTTTGCTGTAGATGCTAATCTAAAGTCGGCCTCTGCATAAGAAATCTATCATCACGTACCCTTTCCCCTGTCTTGCCCATTATAGACCACTTTTAGGAATATACTTTATTGCATCGAGCCCGCAGAATGGAACTTTGATCATTATAAGCTGCATAATTTTTTTTGTCCTTTCAAGACCTAACTTGTCAAGCATGTAGATTTGTTTGCCTAATTTGTTTATTCACACAGCAATAGCATGATGGCTTAATCTAAATAACTCGTCAGTGCTTATACCTCTGCTTACAATTGTTATTAGAAAACTATTGTTCCCCTAACTCTATCATCATTAGGCACGATCAACCCACTGGAAATAACATGTCTTCCCTGTGTGCCTTTTGGAAAAACAGATCATAGCAGGCGACCCAGAGTCTGTTGCTGAGACATCGATGAGCAATGCGTATAGTTTTGGAATGGTGATTTGGGAAATGGTTACCGGTGAGGCTGCCTACGGCTCATATTCCCCTGTGCAGGCTGCAGTTGGCATAGCTGCATGCGGCCTTAGGCCTGAGATCCCAAAGGACTGCCCACAAATTCTCAAGTCTCTGATGATCAAGTGCTGGAACAATGTCCCGTCTAAGCGGCCTCAGTTCAGTGAAATTCTCTCAATTTTGCTCAACACGTGTAGGTAAAAAGTTCATCAGAACAAATATATAGTGTAGTTATTATGATAAAGACTTGGTGTAGAGAATATCCCCTTATCAGATAGGTGAATGCCATGCATGCATGACTTAAGATTTTCAAAAGTTGTTTACACAGAAGAAAATGAAGGTAGATGGTCTTCTGGTTGTTTGTCCTCCCCCATATATCACGGGAAAGGAAGGGGGAAAAAGCTTATAAGTTGTCACGTATGTTTTCACTTTAGTGTGTCTGCAGCTATGATGTATGTATCTAACATGGCGGCAACTTTAAGTGGGGAGTATCAAGTTTCCTAGTCATTCTTACAAGAGGCTGGGGTTATTAGTTTGGCATAAAGAGGGTGGAAAACATGTAAAGCAAGAGACTTGGTGGTGCTGTGGTGGGCCTTTTGGGCTTGTCTTGTGCCTTAGCAAAGGGAACAGAAATCTGGCCCTTCTTTGTCTTTTGGTCTAATGGGAAATGGAAATTAACATCATCTGTAACTTCCTTTTTGCCATCCAATTCTGGTTCAACTTTCAACATCAGCATCACCTTTTGCTTTCCATTTTCACTCTTTTGTCTTTAGGGTTTGGAAGTATGGATATAATTCTTGATTCCTCTTTTGTCTGTGGATTTTCCCATGAGGTCCTACTTTGGTAGGTAGCATGGTTCCTTCAGCTGCTACTGACTGATTGATGTATCCTACGTGTTCATTGTTCATCACTTGAGAGAGTTTCTGTTATATATTGCTTCTTCTGCTTTGTTTGATGCAACCATTTTATTGGTTTAAGTGGGGGCGGTGGGTCCTATCGTAATTGGGACATTGAGATTATGTAGAATGAAATGATTGATCCAAGTGGGTTATTAAGATTAAAGGTACAGATCTGGGATCCCCTTGATTGAATCATAGATCTGAGAGGAAGGCTTCTACTTTCTGCTGTGCATGCATCCAGAGGCAAAAAGTTTGTGCATGAAATTTCCTCTTCTGGGGATTGTGTTCATATCAAGAATCATGCTTGCGGGTTTTGTTTGGATATGGAGATGTTCAGTTCAGATTTAGATCCATGCCTTTGTTGGAAAAGGAGGCATAGTTATTTTGGAGAGAAACTCAGATTGAAGAAGGAAAGTCAGGAATGGATGGCTGGGCTGATGCACATGCTTGCGATCTTGGTGGGGCCATATGTAGGCACCCGGTGGAGCTCAATCGATGAAAATAACTTTCTTCCCAATTAGATCCGCAAATGAGTCAAGAGTGACTTGATGATTGTGAAACTCGCAAGTTAGTTTAACTTGGTGACTTTTGTTGAGCCAAATTCGAGTAAATCGAGCTCATTACCTCATTAATGAGGCAAACTCGAGTCAGACTCAAGTTTAGCCCGATTCAATGTTTTAGTAAATAAGTAGAGCTCGAGTTCGACTATTTTATTTTTATTTTTATAAATTTAGTCTTCACTAGATCAAAACACGATTTAGCTCTGTTTATTTGTAACCCCATTCTCAATTCTAATTTACCGTCTACAGAAAGATACAGCTGGGACGTTATATGGTTGAATGAGGCTGAGATTCTAACGCGTTAATTGTTGTTAGTTCACGTGTCTTGTGATCCGTGACGGATAACAATTCTGAATTACACTATTGGAACTTACTTCCTCCGGAAAGCCCTTGTTTAATTCTGGCATGGTTGTTAGCGTGTTAATTATCAAAAGTTTAAAAAACATAAACTAGCATGGTATTGGTAGGGGTCTCGTTCAACCAGTTGACTGATTTACCTGCTCCATTTTTCTTTTTTTCAACGGTCAATCCGGTTGTGTTGCTGACAAAGGTTAGGTTTTGTCAGTATCATCTTTAGACTTCTATTCACACCATTTCTCCCCCATTTATGTTGACAAAAATGAATAAGCCACAATGGCATCCAATCTGTACATGCACTATCTCTGCTGGTGCTGGGCAGCAAGTTCCAATCAGCAAGTGAAACTAGAGCACAGCCCTGAAACTACTACTAACATCCTCTGTCAAAACCAAAGAAGTCTAAACAACAGTATGCATTCAGTCTGCAACATATCATCATCCTACGAGATCACTCCTATCTATCCAAACAATCACAACTAAATCGAAATGGAGAGAGATTGATAAGTAGGGGACACTAGAGGAACTTGCTGGGTTCGTCCTTGGGTTCTCATCTTCTCTGGAAATTTATGACTTTCACAGAGATGGCGAAAACAGAGAAGAAGAGGAGACAGAAACAGACGAGGACCACAGCTGAAAGTCCGACCATGTTTGTCGAGTAGCCATAGTTTGCTTTTAAGTACTCCTTCACGGGTACTCGAAATCCTGGACCCTGAACCATGGTTTCCACATCACCAAGCTGGGACGAGATAATCCCCTGCAGTGTCCATGCTGTAGGGCAGATGTAGTAGTACCATCTCCACCACACGGGAATGAACTGAGACACAAACACCAGAAATAATCAAGTTCAAGCAGAACATTATTTTATACACCCATTTTAACCCCAACCACAAGCAGATTTCTGATCTCTTGTTGTACCTGCTTTGGAATAAGGAACCCAGAGAAAAGATACCACAGGGAGTAAACTGCAGAGGAGATCACAGAGGCTAAGTTCTGAGTAGGGGTAATCCCAACAGCCATCATACCGTAGAACGTGAAGTAGGTGAACGTAAGGAACACAAACACCAGGTAGAGAAAGAATTTTGCTGCAACATGTGCAAAAGATTTATTAAGCAAGTTAGTGACTTGCTGCTATGAAGCAGAGGGAAACACAATGTTAATTAAGGTGTTCTGTCGAGAGTCTTACCAGCGTCTTGCTCGAAACTAATCGTGAAGTATGTTATGATACAATACACAATTGTCTGAGCCAAAATGTAGGGGATCTCCACAATTCCCTATGATGAAAGATTTTCAAGACTTCCATTATGTCATGGAAATTGGATCGGTGAGGAAAAAATTGCATGCAAAGTTAGAAAAATGACCAACCTGTGCTGCTGCGTAGGCCAAAGGGGAGTACATACCAGCTGCTTTCTCTCGGTAGAACACCGTTCTCTCAATGGACACTATTGGCTGCACCGTAGTAGCATTGCTCACCCCAAGGAATATACAGGAAATGTACAAAGCTCCCATAACAGTCGACAAGGCCTGAGTTGTGCCCCTAAAATCATAATTGTTCTTTCAGAACCCATAACAAAATAAAGGTGGGGTAGTATCAGAAAAAAGGGAGAAGTTAGGGAGGTGGCCTATTTTTACCTTATAGATCCAATGCCCCAAAATTCAGTGCCTAATATCAGTGCGGCTATCATAGTGTAGAACAACCTTACTGCATTGTATCGTGGACTTCTCCAATATACAAGCATCTGTTTCTTTAGGCAAATCCGAAACTGTGACCATGAATCTTGTGCATGCGTGGAGGCAAAGTGCAATGGTTCAGAACCAGGAGGAGGGGCACTCCAACTCATGATTGAAGCTTCCACCTCCCTAGAAAAACATCGATGATATAAAGGAGACAAAATAATCAGAAAATCTGGAGAAGCAAAAAAGTCTAACATAAAAGCATTTCGATTTACCTATACTGTTGAGATGTTCTATATAACTCAACGAAGTCTGCTTTTATTGCCTCTTCAACACTGGTACTAGTGACCTCGAGCATCCAAGTAGCAGGATTATAACCTTCCGGAATTGGAGGGACCCCACTGATCCCCTAATCAAGGAAAATCAACATCAAAATGAGGTTCATTTGCATGATTAATATGACAAAATAGTTTACATGAATGTAATAGTAAGCTGGGCACTCATTTTTCTACACCATGGTAACTTCTGTAGGAATTGTCTGAAGTGGCTTCTTAATTTCCAAAATTTTCTAAATAGCTGAAACAAGCAACTTAACAATTTGTGCATTATTACCTGAAAGTAGTCTATCATAATCTGAGAGTGGAGGCCAAGCTTTCCACCATATATAACCCGACCTCCTCGTTTCATGAGAAGTAGCTGTTATCAAAACCAACAAAATATCACATATTTCAATGAACCAAGTGAAGCTTAACAAGTTTTCACTGCAAAGAAAGCCGTAGAATACATAAATAACCTCATCAAATGCTTCAAAAATGTCGATACTCGGTTGGTGAATGGTGCAAACCACAGTTCTTCCAGTATCAACGGTATTGCGAACAGTTCTCATGACTATGGCTGCAGCTCTCGCATCTAGCCCAGATGTAGGTTCATCCATAAATATAATGGAAGGATTCGCTACAAGCTCCACAGCAATGGTTAACCTTTTCCTTTGTTCGGTTGACAAACCAGAAATGCCAGGCATACCAACCAAAGCTTGTCTTAATGTATCAAGCTCTACTAGTCTCATTACTTCTTCAACAAATTCCTGAAATGGTGCATATGATAAAACAGTATTAAAAGTGGGCTGAAATTTTTTATGCAAGAATATTGATTTGGTACATTGCCAAGTACTAAGCAAGAAACTCACATGTCTTTGTTCTTTGGTGACTTCATTAGGGAGCCGTAGACTTGAAGAAAACCATAAAGACTCCTCAACTGTGACTTGAGGAGAATGTATATCATTTTGTTCAACATACCCTGAAATCCTAGCAAATGTGCTCTGCACTTTAGGATGTCCTGATATCTTTATATCCCCGTTTATATACCCTCCAGTTTTCCTTCCGGCAAGAACATCCATCAGCGTAGTTTTTCCAGCTCCACTGGAACCAACTAATGCAGTTAGAACCCCAGGTGAGAATACTCCGCTCACATTTGTCAAGAGCTGCAACCGCATTTCTGGTTCTCCTTGTTGGCGCATTTCCTGAGCATCAAAATACAGTTAATTATTTACCACACAGTTACATGACTACCAATGAAATACTTGAGAGAAAAAAAAAACTTTTGTACCTTAGGCATATCGACAAAGTAGTTTAGATCATTGAAAGTCAGTACTAATGGTTGAAATGGAAGAATCATCCCTTTCCTTCTATTTCCTCGCTCAGATGTTTCACCTGATTCCTCATGCGTACCCACTGCCAAATAGAGGAAGTATCTTCATCTTGAACCGGCCATTAATCAGAAACGTGCATAGTAAGAAACCAGGAAATGGACGTTGTAATCATGATGAATATAGACTTGGTGGTAATTCACACTTACCTCTATTTCTGTTGATTTCTTCTGCAGCATCAATCGGGGCAATAGCTTGAGCCGTTTCAAGAGCTGTGGTGAGCGAATAAAGTAGGCAAGGCTATCAGTACTAATATAACAGATTGGGTATGGCTTAGGTAGATGAAAAGGTTTCAAATGGTAACCACTCCTAGACTTACGGTGAAGAAAGGCTAGAGCAAGTGTCACAATGATATTAAAAAACAATGCATAGAGAAACAAAACACCAACTCCAATCCAGTACGAGTCATCATCAGTTGGTAAGCTATAGTTGTGGAGGATGTTGTGACCTACAGTATCATTTCCAATAGCTGATCTCTGAGAGACAAATTACAAAGAGGAAAAAGACGGTTAGGGAAAATAAAGTAGCACCCACATGAAGTCATGAACTAAAATTGTCTGTACTTGTTAGAACACACCTTCATCCACCTATCAGCAGTAAATTCATTCACAGAAATTGCACGTTGAGCATAAGTTAGCGGTGATACCCAAAACGCCCACTCCCACCATGGCTTCATCATAGCTGAAATAAGAAAGTACAATTCAATATTCACTAATCACGTCAATTAACAGAAGCAAGCTTTGCTCATTAATAGGATAATTTGATTCAGTTACCTTTTGGAATAACAAAACCACCGGATAGGAAAGTAATCAGCAGAGCAGCAGATGCAAAAGTATAAGCTGTGACAATATCCCGGGTAATTGAAGCCAATGTACGAAAGATACCTAGAGCCATTTGGTGGACAGCAAAGAGCAGAAGTATAAAACGGAAAAACCTGCGGTATATAAGGAAACATATAAATATGTTCATAAAAAAAGTAACTAGACCTAGTTAGCTGCGGAGAAGAGTAAAATGGGGTGGGTACCTCCAAATTCCTGGAGCAAAGCCCACTGAGTAGTAGACAGCAACCGACCAAACCACAGCCTGAACGAACGAGTATGGAACACTTAAAGTGAAACTAGCCAAGGACCATGCCCATGCAGGGTGAAACATATTATCTCGTTGCTTATAGAAGACCGGAAGTCGAAAAGTCAACAGAGACATTTCTGCAGCTCCATTAAATAACATGAACACAAGTCCAAAGAACAAGCACGATAGATAGAGGTTGCCTTGTATCTCACTTTCTGGATGCAATTTCGTTCTGGTGAATATTGTGCAAGTGACTAGTCCAATCAAAGCAACCTTCAAGAAGAAACGCGCGGAAGTTAGACTGGTAGAAATCCATAAACTTGAGAAAATTAATAATAAAACAAGAAGTGGCTTGATTGGGCAAATAAAACAATCTCAATTAGTTCGTGTCCTTAAAAACTAAAATCATGAGTAGTCAATGCTCAAAAGCTGGAAGACCACATTCACTAATAGAATTTACGTGTGTAAGCGAATTAGGGATCACAAGAAACAAGCTATAAACAGAAAATGCCCGTTTGTTCAAGAGGGAAAATACTACCTGACAAGTCTTGAATACATATAGAAATTGATGCCGGCTAAGAAGCAAAATTTCCCGTGCAAAGCACGTCTTCAACAGTTCCCATCTGGATGCAGCATATTTCGTTTTTGGTAAAGCTTTAGGATGGCACTTGGTTTTGTCATATGGAACAGACATAGCGGAGGCCAGAGACCTTCCACACTCAGAACTTTTAAATGCTTGTGCCATCTCTAGGGCAGAAATGAAAACATATGGTTTCGAAGGATCTGCCCAGTACTGACCTTGGTCCTTTTTAGAGGTCACCTGTCAGCCAGCCACAATATTAAAGTTCATTTGAAATCCAGAACTAGTTAACATTGAGAAGATACTAGATAAGTAAGTTAACAGATGAACTTCAGTGGAGTACCTCCTGAAGGAAATCAGCAACACCCTTTCGAGGGGGCAGTTTGAATCCTAGAGACTCAAAGAACTCCAACACTTGTGCCCGAGGACCTTGATACACCACATGTCCCTCAGATAGTAATATCAAGTCATCAAACAAATCAAAAGTCTCTGGCGGGGGCTGTAGAAGAGCAACCAACACTGTTCCTTCTCTCAAATGAACAAAGTTCCTTAAGCATTTTATGACTTGATAGGTGGTAGAGCTATCAAGTCCTGTAGATACTTCATCCATGAAAAGAGTTTTCCTTGGGCCAACTATCATTTCCCCTGCGTTATATTATTATCAGTTAATGACTACTAGCCTCTAAATCAAATGGAAAGCATGCATAGCATACTTCTTCACTTGAATAGTGACTTCCTATTACGACTTTTGTATCTATCTAGAGTGAGAGAGAAGAGTCAAACCTGTGGTAACCCTTTTCTTTTGACCGCCTGAAATGCCCCTGAGCATGTCATTGCCAACTAATGTATCCGCACATACATCAATTCCAAGAACTCTTAGGATATAGTCCGTTGCAACATTATGCTTTTTGCCATGAACGGATGCTGCCTGCTCCGTATGAAATTGAAGAAAATGAATCACATTAAAACATCAATACGATCATGGTTAGAAAAAAACAAGAAACATGAAGACGATATAATTTGTGTGTAATATCAAATATGCGCTCCGTAAAGGCACAAATCTACCCAAAGACTATAACAACAAGAAGAAAAGAGCAAACAGACAACATGAAAATAATATAATTGCTGAATGCGATGTGGACCTTCATAAAGGCATCAATCTCTGGACTTGGATGTATATTCCTTTCCTTTTCCAGTCGAATCAAATCTTTCATCATATCTGATAACAGAAAGAATTAGTTCATTGCAAATGACAGAAAACTGAACTTACACGAATGAAAGACCAGAGTTTTTAAACTATAAAGCTCCACCGAATTGTATGGATGTCTAGTAACAATAATTTTCAGTGCCCTCTTTAGCTTTTATTCAAAAATCATAATCGTATCAGCGGAAAATGGAAATAAGCTAACCACAAAAGACTGGGACATCATCTCTTTAAATAATGTAATATGATCCCAAAATATGAATGCAGAGTGTATTGAATATGACTATCTACCCATTGAACATAAGAACCAGACAGAGGACTAACATAATAGTATCCATACGTTTTATTTAGTTACTAGACTTAAAATGCCAATGCATTCTTGCTTGTAAAGCTGAAAAGCGAAAACAAAGAAAGGGAAGTTAAATCACACTATCCTCAAGACATTGTTCATTTCAATTCAACTACTTGGTACTGACAATCCAAATGGTACTGCGGGTGGCTCATAGTGCAGATAGTTCGACACTCCCTACGAGTCTAAGTGAAAGTGCATCAAGCAAAAGTGTAAACTGCAAAATTAATTAATTAGAGAAAGAAACCTGCCAAGTCTTCACTTTGCCCCTGCCAACGGCCAGCAAAATCCAAAGTTTCTCGTACAGTGAGCTCAGCGATATGGTTGTCGATTTGACTGATATATGCAGAAGTTCTTCGGACATAAAATTTATCAAAGTTCTGTCCATTGTACAGGACACTACCAGTTACCTGAAAACAAAATTGGTCAAATTGAGAAACTTTTGTGATAGCAATCTCAACGTACAAAGGCCTTACACATAGGTAGAACTGGATGTACAGTTGAAGTGGTGGTTATGGAATAAGATGGCCAGTTTGCTAACCTTGAGGTTTTTGTCAAGTTTCCCTGCAAGAGCTTTGAGTAAAGTTGATTTCCCCGAACCAGGAGGTCCAAGGAGCAATGCCATTCTACATCCATTACAAAAAAAAAAAAAAAAAAAAAGATTCAGAAAACTGCAACAATGTCCGACTCCAAGACTCTGTGGCGAGTTAATGGTCTCTCTTTAACCCCGTTTATGAAACCTGGATGCTAAATTGAAGAAAGTTAGCGGTTATAAGGTTCTCGAATTCAATCGTTTGTAGAACTAAAAGACTCAGGGCTTCGACTGGGAAAGGTAAAGACCCTAGCTCTAGGGCTCCCGAAATGATACTTCTCAGTTAAGTTTTACCTGAAATGACAATGATTTCCAGGAGAAGCATTCCGTACTGGTACTGGAATGCGTCGGCGTTTACCATGATCAGCCGGCTGCTGGGACCCATCAGATTGGAGAGCCCAAAATCATACAGAATCGGGCAGAGAGAACCAGCCGCAACGGCGACGGCGGACGGAAGTGAAGAGCCGGCGGCCGCCGCAGAAGCAGCGGTTAAACGCGCCGGACAGTGGAATTTCTGCCTCTGGGTTAGTTTTTCTGGTCCAGTGATTTTGTTTTCTTTTTACAGTTTCTTCCGACCCTAGACGGCGTCGTCCTCCTGAGGTGGAGGATGATTCGCCCAAGATCCAATGTGACCGGATCCATGTTTCAAATAATGAACCGGACCAAATTGATTTGGTTTCGACACTTTCGAGTCAATATATTGTTCTTGTCTCTGTTTCACTAATATTTAGCGATAATAATTAGTTGAGTTGGGTCGGGTCTTCGAAATTCAAACCCAATCAAACGAGTGTATCAATTAAGGAAAAAAAAACATCATTTGATTTTGGAAGAGCAAACCCGTATCATAATATTGTCGCACATTTTCATACAAACTAATAACATATGTAAATTATTCGAATTGTCCTTGTTAGATACAAAATGAAATTGTTTTACCTTTTGGGTGTGAAATTGGTGGAAAATGAGTTGGATTTTCACTTGCTTTTTACCGAGTTGGATCAAATTAAGAACATGTGATTGAGGTTCAATTGCCATCCCTAATACTATTGGATTTAAAAGTTTTAATCTAGCTTCGAACTAGCTAAATCATCACTGAATTATTTCTTTTTCTTTCCAAACTGACATCAATTAATCTTAGTATGATGGTTAGGAAAATTTCTTCATCGAACTACTCATTTCGTTCGTATCACCTTTTTCGTCGTAACTCAATCAATAAACAAAATTTGATGCAAATGCAATTGATTATTGTTAACATACCTTCCCGGCTTCAAAATCCCACTGACGCGGCTCAAAATCGTTAACGAATGCTTCTTCGGTCTGTAGATCCGCAAATTTGTCAATAAACCCTAGGAAAAAAACCATTCAAAGAAAATTCTCAACCAAGTTCCGACGAAATTGACGGCAAACTAGGTACCTCAATATCGACTCTGTACCTCAACGGCGTCACGGGCGGCATTGACGAGCGTAGGCAAAGCTCTGGATCCAACCTGCACACTAGCCACCACATTCAGCTCCTCGAATCTCACCTCCACCGTCGTCACCTCGATCCCGACCCGATCCAGCCGGCTCTTGATCGCCGAAAGCAGCTTGAAATTGTCCTGCGAATTGGTCGCCAGAGCCTTCTTCACCAGCAGCTCTCTGTCCGTCTTTTTCAATTTATGCAAATCGATGGTCTCGGTCAGCTGCCCGTTCCCCAATTGCGCTTCCGAAGGCGTCCTCCTCAGCACCGCGTACCTGCCCCGCTTCTCCGACGGAAGCCTGGCGATTGCTTCCAGAATCAGCTCGTCCTCGTCGTCCCTCGCCGCCGACGAGGTCTCCGCCCCGCTCCCGGCGAACGAGTCGATTTCCAGCTCGAACAACGACGGCTCGCCCATCTCCATTTGCCTACACGCCGGCAGCGGCCGGGGAGGGTTTAATTCGGATTTTGGAGCTAACTAATTACCATCAGTTTTTCATTTGTGAGTGTTACTAATAGGGGAGAGTTCCATATCAGATTCTTAATTGTCTCCTGATTTCCTGTAATTGAATCCGGGTAGGTAGGACAAAAATTTGGCGGCAAAATAGGTAGTTAGAGAGCTTGCTTCTTTGCCACTCGGCAGCTCTTTATTCGTCTTCGCTTTTTACCGTTTCTTAAGTTAAATTTACGATTGGGCTCAAGAGAATGAAAACTAGCTCACAGTCACAAATGACATTTTTAAGTTTTGGGCTAACATGCCAGCCCATTAGTCAGGCGAGTCCGGTTGTTTGGGCTTAAACAGTGAGGAACCTGGGAAGCAGTCCAGGCCCGGTGGAGTACGTGTCGCCGGCGATGGACATTGGATGAACGGTGCACAGGAAGGTTTCATTTTTATATGCATAGCTCTGTCGGTGAATAAATTAAAGAGTACAATAGTTTATCATTGGCCATTCATGGCTGCCTTCTTAAGCTCCTGAAATGCATTTATGGTTTCTGTGTCAAATCCACCTGCAAACTGGATTCATGTCGAATGAATGGTTAGTCAATGAAGCCTGAACATTCCATCCATGTGCTATTTTACTAGTGAAAAAAAGGAACAGAAACACTTTCAAGGTTACCTGGTGCACTCTATATGCCAATCTAGCACCTTGATGAAGCAGATTGTTGTCCTCCGAGCTCTGATTCAACTTCATTTCTTTAGCAATCCTCTTCATGTACTCTCTTGCTATCTTCAAAGAACTCAATTTCACCTGAAAAAGAAAATTCTCGGATTCAAGTCAAATGTCCGGTTTTGAATCTCCAAGTTATTGTGATAAACCAGTTCTCCGACATGGTGTAAGGTTGTTTGTTAATCGACAATTCTCGTGTTTAAACATTCATATATCTAATCAAGGTACAAAGGGAAAAAACTTCCATTTAGTGTCTGACTAGAGAGTGAAATAACGCCCATTCCTCTCTAAATAATTCGAGCTTTTGATTCCAGGTAAATTGACCATGTATTTTAGATATGGTTAGTTTACCTGTCCAAGGAATCCAGTGCTAAGTAGCCAGTTCCAGGGGATCTGGAAGTTCTTGTATCTCTTCATCATACTCTCTTTATTCCTCTCCATACCATTAACACTTTTTTCCAACCTGTTAAAAAATTATTGAACTTAGAAAGATTCATGTAACTGAAATTAGATCAGGGAGCTAACCGATTGGGATAAAGATGCTTAAGTTAACCTGTCTTGCAAAGCTTGCATCTTTGCTAGAGCCTTAATCAATGGCTCCTTTGGATTGTCCTCGAACGACAAAACTTCAGACTCAAGGTTCCTCAGGTTCTGGTAGTTGGAAGCAGCTTCTCTCAAGGCATCAACTTTCTGTTCAGGCCACTGTGGGAAATGCTTCAGCACTGCCCTCTCATCGACAAGCAACGACAGTTGGTCATCCAGCCATTTCATGAAACCCTCTACTTCTGATACCTCTTTGAAAGCTTCAGACTCCACTTGTTTTATCAATGAGGTTATGAGTTGCTTCTGCTTCTCTACATCCGACTTTATCTGTACACAAATCAAAGTTGCGTTCCATTAATTTGGATGGCAAGCTAAGGTTTTAAGATGGTAAAGTTTGCATCTTTACTTACCGCAGATAGATAACTAGAGCGATTCTCGATCTCTCCTATCATGTCTGGCGTGAATGCAAGTGGTGATGTGGTGGAATGGTTCTTCTTTGTATCAATGTGCATATCCTTCTTCGTGATCATACGATAAAACTCGATAACTTCTGGCACACGACGAATAGATTTTAAACCGACTAATGTTGTTGATGGCAGTGGTGGAGGAGGTGGTGGACCTGGTGGTGGCAGTAGCTTAGTCCCTTTAACTTCCCCATGTAAAGGCGATGCAGTGGAAGCAGGCCTTGATATTGGTGGGTTTGGTCTTGAATTCAACTGTGGTTCTTTACCCTCAGCTGTTGCTTTAAGATAGTGTTGGTGTTGCTGCTGCTGCTGTTTCTGCTGAGAGACGTCGTTCTTGGTCACTTCATTGAAGCTCTGCAGCTTCTTCCAAAGCATCGATTTCCTCTCGTTCTCATGAGCTTTGAGGGCTGTGATCTGTGACTTGAGATGGAGAACCTCTTGCCTCAGTTCTTGATTGTGTTTCTCCAACAGATCAGTTCTTAGAAGAGATGCTTCAAGTTCCTTCTTCAGGTAATGGATCAACGATTCCTCCTCTTGCTTCAGCATCTCTACTCTCTAAGAACACTCTTCTTTCATTTGGAGATTGGAACTGGTGAGACCAGTAGCTAGATCTGTCTCCCCCATTTTTTGTTGGTTTCAAGTTCCTTGCTTTTTAAGAAAAGTGAAAAGGGCTTGGTGTTGGTGGTGGTGGTAGTAGTTTGGAGTTGAAAACTGTTATGGGTTAGCTTGATTTTGACTTGAGGTGGTGGCAGAACTTTTTTCTTCTTTTCACTGTGGAGGTTTCTTAGTGTGGGTGGCATGTGTTACATGTCCTTACCATGAAGTGTTTGGTGAAACATTGAACTCTTTATGTACTAAAGTACTGATTTCTTCATCACTTTACTCAATTTCTTGGTGGAATCTCATCATCATGAAATAGTAGTGTATTGTACCAATCATCCCCTGTTTGACATTTGCTCACTAGCTTTACCTGAGCTAGGCAATTGGGTTCCTCTTCTGGATCCAACATCTAGAAAGGTTGCAGTTTTTGAAGCTTCCCCAAGAGGAAGAAGTAAACTTCAGAGATTTATCGCTGATTGCAATATCCCAACAACCAAATCTGTGAAGCTAGGGCATCATCATTGGGGTTAGATGGTGTTCTCCTTTTGGTGGATTGCTATTGGAGTTGTCTTCTTTTGTAGGCATGGGGTTTTATTTACACCATGTAGCTAGGGTATCATCATTAGGGTTTTGATGTGTCTTGGGGCATTCTTTGCTTGTTTAGCAAGGCAGAGTACAAGTAATTATCATGATTTCCATTTATCAAATGGTATATATATATGTTATGCTCTTTTTTCTGTAATATCAATGTGTCTATAGTGCACATCGTGATTAAAAACAATTCAATACAAGGCACGAAGCTGTAAACTAACTGGCGATAGAAACATGGACAATATGGTAACTCTGAGCTAATCTCAAGTTAGTGAAGATGTTTCGGGCCTGAATTAGTATCGGTTTAGGCGACACTCATAACCTTCAACCTTAGCACTCTACTCCAGAAGAATTAGGAACTGAATGCATCTCCCAACTTTTGTACATTACCTTTCATCAGAACTCTGATAAAGTATCATTCGACACGAAGTTAAGCATACCTCCCACGAAATGATCTGCCCAGCCATTAGAGCATCCAAATCACCAGACAAACCATTCCAGTTTAGAATCGGCCTACTTGAAGTAGATTGAAAGCTGTGGGATATCAATATCGTTGCCTTCATCATCCTCCGCTGCCACTAGCACATCAACGTGACGCCGTTTTGGAGGCAATTCCACCCCAGCTACTTCCCTAACCAAATCCACCACCTTTCTGTCGATTCTCTCCCTGTGAGCAGCATACATATTGTTGTACAGCATGCTCTTATCGTAGGAGATGCTGTAGGCATCGAGTCCCTTATTACTGAGCCATTGGAGAACTTCCCTCAATGTCGGATTGCCATCGAGGACCCACCTGTCCCAGATAGTCCAGCTCATGTCATGGTGCTTGAAGACTTTACACGGAACTGGTTCAGCCATAGAGAACAAGGGCAGAGCTAGATTGGCAAATGTGTTGCGGTAGTCCTCTATTTTGTGTCCGCCGTCGAGGACCTTGTAGAGCTCTAGACACACAAGACCTGTAGCCATGGCTGTGGAGGTTGCAATGGCGGGAATGATCCTCCCAGCAATGAACTTTGCTTTCAGTTTGTCCACCTCGGGGATACTGTAATTTCTTGCTCTCATGTTGGCAAGCCCAGCTATCAGATCCATGTGGTAGTTTGTGTCGTCATCCTGCAAATCAAAGAGGGGAGAGTATAAATTAATAGAAACATGCTCAAAAGGGATTTTTTAAATTTTTTAGTAGAAGTGAAACCAGCATGTTTATTTGGTTCAAATGTTGTAGAAATGCATAAGAAGTTGATAGGAAAACCTTTTCGAACTGAATCGGCTTCATCCTAAACCCATGTGGCAGATGCCGCCTGCAGTTTTCCAATCTCATCACAAGGTCACTAATTTGAGCAGAATCGTCACCCAGTGATGTGGACAGACTAGTAGCCTTTTCATCTGTAACTATCGTAGCATGCTTACTTGGTTGAAATTCTGGCACCATCACCTGTTCAACAGCATCTGCTAACTTCTTAAGATTCTTAACCCAGTCAGGAACTGGGATACCAAATGTCTCCGCTCTCAGTATGGAAGCTGCCATAATGAAGTGGAGGTGACTAGGATCAGTAACAGAGAACTCAAGAGGATGAGGGAATCGCTTTGGTGCAGACCAAAATGGAGCACCGGTACTGGTTGCAGCATCTTCTGGAAATGTGTAAATCAATTGCCTCACTCGATTGCAAAAATAATCTTCAAATCTGATTAACAAAAGAAGCAGAAAGTCAGAAGAACCAAACAAGCGCAAGTTACTGACACCAAAAGAAAGGAATATAGTTAGAAAAGTTACTTTAAACGTGCCCAGGTAATGCAATCCTGGAAAGTCTCGCATTTTTCACTGTCAAGACACTCGAGTACATGTTCCAGTGTATCCCTTGACTGTGCATCACCAGCTTTGATCATTGTCGCAGTGTATTCAACTGGATTTGAAAGATAGGCATTGACTTCAGCAGGAATCTTCTCGAGCAAACCCTCGAACTCAGATCGAGCCCAAGTCAAACAATGGTCAATGTTATGGGGGAAAGAGTGCACAGTGCACATTGGTGCTTGCTTCTCAGGTGGATCTTGTGAAGCACCATAGTTTTCAGTGAGCCGGGGAATCACCATCTGAGTGTTGCATTTGGCACCTAAGGTCCCAGACTCAAGTAATGGCCTTTGGAAGTACAAGCACCGCTGATCAACATATAGCCTTGCATTGACATTGTCCAAGGCATTAATGACAACAGTCAGATTTTCCCAGAAGGTGTCATCAAATACATTTTCTGTCTGCGGACCCACACGGTTTTGCAATGCTTCAACCTTGAGACGAGGATTTATTAATGCAGCAGCAGAAGCAGCAACGGAAGATTTGGCCTGACCAATGTTCCAATCACGGAAAAGAAACTGCCTACTTAGATTACTCTTCTCAATCACATCATCATCGGTTACAATGAGTTTTCCTTCTTCACCGCACGAGACTCCCATAAGTGCTAGGTTCTTCAAGAATTCACAGCCTAGTGCACCAGATCCAACTAAAAACACCTTGGCATCCTCTAGCTTCTTCTGAAGCTTGGACCCAAAGACAGATATTTGTGCATCACAGCGGCTGTTCGATGGGGTTAACTGACTGGAATCAATATCCTCTGTAGGAAGTGACTCCACTGAGTCAAAATAAAAAAACTGCAGCATGGCATAAAAAGGCAGGGTTAGATTAGATCACCTGCTAATATGCACGACTCCAGAAGTTCAAGAACATAGGTCCAAAAGCAAACAAAAAACGGACACGCACAAGATAGTCACGCTCAACATCGGTTATAAATATAATCCATATAGAATATGGAAGGCAATATGAATACTGGAAATAAGGCATGTTCCACATTTGAAGGAACATATGTTTCTCCAGGAAAGCGAAAGGATCAGAAAAGAGCCCAGACTGACCTGGAAAAGAGGATGAAACTTTCCAGAGCATGCCTTGACAACCTCTTGACCCACAATACCACCCAACATTGCTGCCATAGGATTTAACACAGCTCTAGCACCAAAGGCAAAGTGTCGCAGAAGTTTGGGGTTAATGTCTTCCACTCTCCAATCCCCCAATCCCTGGTTCATATCAGCAGCTAACTGTATAAATTTTTTGGCATCATCTTCTGAACCAGCAACAGGAAAGCGACCAAGCTCAGAAACAAATTTATCTAGCGCCTGAAATGCTAAGTGGAGGAGAGGTGGGCGATCAAACTTGGAGAAATCACTCAAAATAAATTCTCCCGGATCTTTAAGTGCCTCTTTTAATGGTTTAAAGTTCAATAGCTTTGGCTGCTTGACCTGGGTGACAATGCCACCTTTCACATATGCACCAAATTTTGTGGTGTCCTCTTCAAGTGTAAATGAATATGGCCTAGCATTTCGTATCTTCCTTGGTTTTCCATCATTCAGTTCAGTCATCCCATGAACTTCAGAGAAAACAACAGTATCGCCATCCTGAAACTCGAGCCTCTCATCATCGACGCATGATACTAGTGCTGGATTGTCATTGTTGATGGATGCAATAATGCCGGTGTGTGGTTCCTCTCCATCAACATCAAAGACAGTGAATGCAGGTCCAAAGTCACAAAATACAGAACCGAAGAGGCCTCTACTCTCACACTTAATGAAAGCAATAGACGGTTTTTGATTGTGGCAGAAGTTATCAAATTCCATGGCTTTCTCGAGACCTGTATTGTTAAATACAACAGCCTGCACAAAAGTAGCAAAAGCATAAACAGACAGCAGTAACCTTGAAAAATCTCAGTTCGCCGTACTAAGCAAATTCCTCAACCATCATTAATAAGACAATTTCCATGAACATTGAATATCCAGCATTGACTACAATCACTGGAGTACCTGGAAATCAGCGAGTTGTTCCTTAGCCAAACTTGTTGTCAATGCAGAAACCGCAACAGCATTGTTGAGTTCCTGCAACTTCTGTATACAAGCAAGGGCTCTATTCTTGCCAACATCTTTCTCAGAGAAAACGAAGTTACTTGACAAATCCCACAGCTCCACAAGTCCTTCATCATGTAACGTTACAGAATTCACACCAGCAAGGATCAGGTTCTTGGCTGCAGAATTAAACACACACACACACCCTTATATTACTGACAAACATTCAACCAATACCTAAAGGAAATAAGAAGAGAAATCAATCAATTTAGCAGCTCACCAATCTCAGCCCCAAGCCCATTCATCCCGGACACAAGCACATTGGAAGCGAAAAGTCGCCGCATGGTCTCCCGTCCATACACAGCAAGCTGCCGGCTGTGAAGATCCTCATCAATATCACCCGAATTCCCGTCACCAAACCCTATGGTGGAAGCCGCTCTCACACTGCCGCGATTACTATGATCACTACCGCTGCCGCCGTCGTTCGCGACGAAGCAGCTACTTGTTCCGCAACCCTTGGCAGCCGAATCTACAGAGTAATCTATCCGATGGTGCGCCGCATGGTCTTCGTCAGAAACCGCCGCTCCATCGCGACGCTTTCTCGGAAGCATATAGTAGAGTAAGCTGCCAACAACCCCGCACAGACCGACCGAAATCAATACCACAGTAGAGAGAGTTCTACTGTTGCTATTATTGGCGGCAAACATTATCCCCAGGAAGATTGGCGCCAAAACCACCGCGATCAGAATCCCTAACCCTGAACTGAACATTGATTGCGATTGGGCGCGGCCTTTAATAGCAGCAGAAGAAGATTAGAAGCAGAGAGCTAAGATTCCAAGGCAAAGAGCAGAAGAAATGCGAAATGTTTCATTTAGGTGTTAAGCATCTGGATGTTGCCTCGACTCTGAGGAAGAAAAGTATTTGTTTGATAGTTGAGACAATTTAAGAATAACTACGATGATGATTAAAGACCGAAGAGGCGGCCGGCGAGCCGGCGAGAAAAACACGTGCCGCCACGGCGGGTGGCTACGAAAGTCAAAACGACGCTCCTTTAGTTGTTGAGAAAGGGTGGAGTCGGTTGGGAGACCACTACGCCGTCGTTTCACCTAGTCGACCAGCTTTAGTAGAGGGAGGGAGGCACAAAATCGGAGGGGGAGAGAGAGAGAGAGACTGAGCAAGCGGAAACAATTTCCATAGAACAGCGGAAAATGGAAGGAGGCAAATCGCAGGCGGGGACGGTGATCGACGTCACTGTGAAGTTCAGCGGGAGATCGATTCCTGTTTCGGTGCCGTTGGATTCCGCCATTAAAGACCTTAAAGCTCTTCTTCAACCCCTCACCAATGTACTCCCCCGGGGCCAGAAGCTCATCTTCAAGGGTCTGTCTCCGTCTCTCTTTCTCTTGGTTGGTCGATTCGACTGATTGATTGATCAAGAAATTGTTGTGATTTGTGAACCTCTTTCCCTTTGCAGGAAAGCTGTTGGCAGACGCCATGACGTTGAGGGAATCGGAGGTCACAAGTGGCGCCAAGATCATGCTTCTTGCCTCTCAGGGCCTCCACCAAGGGGTACATATCTGTTTCTTTCTCTTCATTCGTTTGAATAGTGGTTAGCTTTTTGATTCGTCAACTGCAAATGAAGCTCGTTTCTTGGAACCATTTCCGTTCACGTTTTCGCCTCTAGTCGATACTGCTTCAATGCAAACTGTTTCTTGAGCTTAATTTAGGGTTTTCCAGTCGTCCCAATGGCGTTTCTGGGGTTTGGAGGGTAATGCTAATGTCATCATCTTTTCCCTTGGGGCAGGATGGGCCGATACTGAAAAATGCGGCAACCCGGCCAATTTCAAGGGATAAGATGCCCATAACCGAAAAGGGGAAAGCTATAGTCCCTGACAAGAACCGCTTGGAACGCTGGAAATCCACTGGGGTCATCGCTTTGGCGGAATGCAACTTAAAGGTAAACAAGAGTCCCGCTTTTATCTTTCATCTGTCGTGCATCAAGTTACAGGAATAGTTATTTCACAGTGTAAAGAAGCCACATTTTATCTGAAGCTGAATTTTGTACTTTTATTTCTTCTTGCTTTCAATAGTCCAGCACCCTACTGTTTTATTCTGACGTTGAAATCCATAAGCCAGGGTGCAACTTTTTCATTGTCGATTCTGGATGTCACTTATTGTGTTCTTCTTTTATTGGGGTTGACAGGTAATGCCAGATGATATTTGGGGTTGTGGGACTTCTGCAAGAGCTCTCGATATCAGCAACAACTCTATTCAAGAGATACCATCCAAGCTTGGCTGTTTGAGTTGCTTACAGGTGAATAAACTTTTGACATCCATAACGAAAGAATAACTGCAGCTCCTGTAGAGAGGAGGAAGAAAGCCCTATCTGATTGGTGCCTTTTTTTTTTTTGATGAATTGGTGCCTTTTTTTATCATATACATCTGCAGAAGATTATGATGAATGGAAATGACATTTTAGATGAATCTATTTGCTGGGAAGCTCTAACCTCTCTGAAGCGTCTTACAACTCTATATCTCAGCCACAACCAGTGAGTCAATTTTCCATTGTGCATGGTTTGTGCTGTATGCTTCTGATCTTTTGGTAAATCAGTAGAGGGCCTGACAGAGCTTTTTTTTTTTTTGTATTACTCCTGCCCAATCGTAGTCACTCTGTAGCGCAAAAATATTTAGTGCCTGCATAATTGTGGATTGTTATGCATCATACTGAGAATATGTTCAAGAAAGATTAAAAAAAAAAAGACTAGATGTTACTGCCACTTATGTCAGCATGCTTAACGATGGAATATTTAAGGTAAATCTAAAGAACCATTGCTGTATATCTCTTTTGACTTGGAAGTGTGCTTTGCACTTTGTAGTGTAGTTGAAACCTGTAATATACGTGTGTGTATCTTAAATACATTTCATTTGCTTGAGGTTCTGAGCTAGGTAACCTGTGTTCTTATGCATCTTACTTCAGTTGCAATGCTTCATTTGCCTAGTTATTTTGTGATCTGGGTCAATTGAGTTATAGGGAGCGAATACTCTGTCTTGGTTTCTTAGATGTGGCTCCTTTAAACAATGATGGTGATCATGTTCGTTGCAGTTTAACAGTGTTGCCCAAAGAAGTAGGTGGTTTGAAGTCTTTGAAGCAACTTCATGTTTCAAACAACAAATTGAATAGCCTCCCAGTTGAGATAGGACTTCTTACTGGCCTTGAAGTTTTGAGAGTAAACAATAACAGGTAATTTATTTGGATGAGGGGAACTACTTCTGGCCTCGACAACCCACTCCTTTCCATTTCAGTTCTATTATATCATTGGTGCTCGTATCTGGATGCCTTAGTCAGCATCATCATGCAAGATGATGGTTGTGTTATTTTGTATTGAGTCAGGATAAGCGCCATTGATCCATCTATCGGAAGCTGCATTTCCCTTGTAGAGGTATATTTGCCACTGGAGAAAGACTTCTATCTCTCATATAATCCCAATAAAACTTGTCCTTTACCTTGAATGCTTTCGTTGGTGCAGGTTGATCTTTCCGCAAATCTTTTGATAAATTTGCCAGAGACTTTTGGCAATCTACGTAATCTGAAGGTCCCGTTCTCTCTTCTTCTTCATGTCTACTTATTGACTATTACAATTAGAATCCAACTTAAAGCACAAGTTGCAGTCAAATAAACGAAGTTTGGTCTTGGCCTGTTTGTGCATGCATGCAGGCCTTACACCTCGGCAACAACGGATTGAAGACCCTCCCTTCTGTGCTGTTTAAAAGTTGCACACAACTATCAATTCTAGATCTGCACAACACGGAGATCACGATGGAGGTTCTCCGGCATTTGGAAGGCTGGGAGGATTTTGATCGCCGACGTTGCTCAAAGCATCAGAAGCAACTGGATTTCCGGGTGATGGGTTCTGGGGAGTTTGATGAGGGTGCTGATAAAAATTGAGCAGGTGGTGGAAAAACCTGAACTGCATGCTTTCTTGCGGTCTGCTGCCTACTTGTCACCCAATTGGCAGTAGTAGTGTTGTAAGCTGGGATTCTGGTCTCAACTTGATTTGATATATAGCTCATGTTGTGAATAGAACTAGTCACAGAAATTGCACAGAACAGAGCTCATTTTTGTCTAAAGTCGATTGGTTATTTACTTATTTGAATTCCAGGCAAGATAACTTTCTTAAAACCAATAAACCATATGGTTTGACAGAAGCTCAATTTGATGAGACTAATACGGCCATGATCAATATCGTCATCATCATTATCAACTTACGTGTACCAGTTTTGTCTGTGTTAAATCTTGATACATGATGCAGGTAGAACAGGCCTTGATTACTTGTATTATTAAAACTTACGACATTTTCAACCATTGGCAGTTATTGAATCGTTAGGTTTACTGTTGAATTAGTGGATTCCATGGTACATGGAGGAATGTATCAATTTAATCTTCTTTAACTTCTTTGTATTATAAATTCAGTGGACGTATTCTACCAGGTACCAAGATGGGATAGATAGGGTACTGGAGAAAAGAGAAGGGAAATCAATATCAAAACCTAAAGTGAAGAAGATCGAGTTCATGACCTAACTTGCACGGGTGTCGTGTCCTCTCTCAAAAGTTTAATTTAATTAGATATTAGAATTAAATTAAATAATTATTAAATATGAAAATATTTTATTAATAAAAGTTAGGCAAAATACACCTGTATAGTAATAACTTTTCACATTTGTCACAAATATAGTTATAACTATTCGAAAACACAAAATAACCAATTCCGTCTATTTTGTTAACGACATCAGTTGACGGTATAACTGGATTAACGGAAGATGTTGAATTGGCGATTTATTGTCACCACCAACTGACGTGGATTAACACAAACAAAAAAATAAAAATAAAAAAACCAAAAAACCATAAAGCAACTAGGCGTCAGTAATCTCTGAAAACTCTCTGGAACCTCGCCAGTTTAGGGTTTGTGGCTCCAGTTCACAGTCCTGATGATCGTGAACTCACTGCTTGGATCGTGAACTGCGGCTGCTACCTCCTCTTTGCCCGATCCTCGCGCCTTTTCTTCCAACTTTCGGCTCTAGGGTTGGTTCCACCTGTTAGACTCTGAAACACATTGAAACACAACAAACCTAGCGTAAAACCACCCTTTTTTGAGCTCAAATGCCACAAACGCCAAAGAAAACCCGGGATAAAAAGTGTACATTTAGGCCCGAATCACTCCCCCGCACTTAGACGTTTGCTTGTCGCCAATCAAACCATTTCACACAAGGTAATATCTCAACCTAAACAAAATACTTTGGGGACAACTCAAAGGGCACAAAGTGGAGAATCTCAATGGCTATTGGCAATTAACACATGGACCGTTGCAAGCGATACTGGCAACCACCACAAACGAAATTCAAGGCCACCAAAATGGGCAAACGAAAAGTTCTCACCTTGTTCATGAATCAATTAAAGTCTCAATAAGATCACTCATCAACCACAACTAACCATGCATAACATTCAAGTCCAAGGAATAAACGAATGGCCAACAAATGTCCTCGCCGGGGTATGATATGACATGCAAAGCAAGAATGAATCACTCACTCTCTTGACCAGTGGGGTCGGGACCATTTGGTGCAAAAAATGTGCACAATCATCAACACTTGCCCCCTATCGTCTCTTCACTACGGCGGCAACCTCTAAATGCTAGAGTTCACAGGACGGTTGTCATCACTAGCTTGTCCGGAGTTCTTAGACACAGATTCAAATGACTGGCAATTGGCTTGGACATGGGGAAAATGCCTTTTGAGTGTTGGCGAACACAACATAAGGTCTTACATCTTCACCTTAAAACCAAAGGTTCTATGGCTTCGACTAAGAACCTTCCCTCCACACAACGACCACTAGCATCGGCCAAAAGCCTTACTTCCTTCCAAACTAAACTATCACCCATCACGAACTACAATCAAGCACACTTCCTCGGCCTATTCTTGCTATCACATTTCAAACATAGTATTGAAGGAGTTCAACAACAATTTGGGTGTTTCAATGACTTGAGTGCCAAGGAACCCTTCCTAGAGCATACAATCTGATTTTATGGCCACTCTCTACTTTATTTACCCCGTTTTATTACCTCTTTTTTGATTTTTTTATTTCTACTTTCCTTTTCTTTTTCTCTTTTGAGGGGGGTACTAGAGAGTGAAACACATGCCATTTAACGAACAATGCTCTCGATTAAGAACTCACCCCAAGACAACCTCTTCTTTTCTAGCAAGAACTGTGCAAAATCCTCCTATGTAGAACCTCAATGGAGCTCCAAAGCATGGACTCCGGGACACAAGGACGACTCACGTATAGACATGAAGAAAGGATGAGGGTTCGTTCTATCAAACACCATTAAGCTCACAGGCGAAAAAATCCCAAGAGAACGACCCCCAAAGTCACAAGGCTCAAAGGGGTTGACTAGGGGATAGAACATTTCGGGACAATCAACATTTGGGTGTAGACTAATCTCATGCCTCTATCATACTCACTAGTGACATCCAATTCATTTTTGCACACATGAGAACTAAACCTTTTCACTATCCTAATGCACCTCTCAGTCATTCATAGGACACACTCGATCACATGCAACAATTCAATGTCAATGTTAATAAACACGAGATTCTTCCACAAACCGGCCCCTTTGATCATGCAACTACTGCTTAGAGCCCTCAAATTTTTTAAATTTGGGCAAACATCAAGGCTCCAAGCATTCAATCACACTCACACAAGCATAATAATAAATTACACCCCCCCCCCACACACACACACTTAAGCTCGACATTGCCCTCAATGGCGTAAGATAGGGGTATAACGATGTTACCGCATGGCTTGGTGAGTGAAAGTTGGAATTTTTTTACGGGGTAGGAGATTGGATCTTCAAGGAGAAGACAAAATCAAACACAAACACACACATTCTCGCTCGAGATGAGGTTATTACACATAACAATACGATAGTAGTAGTACTAATTGCTCACACACACACAAACACCGAATAAAAGGACAAAAAATAAAATAAAGGATAAAAGAGTTCAGAGTTCCAAGTGGAGAAGGAAAGAAATCGGCTCTGCCACATGTCTCACTCGTTGGCTACCTCTCACAGGTCGAAGGACCCAACTCATCGTCCTGAAGGACACCCTGGCATCAAGCCATCCTCTCTATCAAATATGAGGTGCAGTCGTGCCGAGTGGTGACTCCCACAACGTGAGTCTCGAGGCGATCCATCCACTCCACTAGACGATCCCTTGAGGTGGAAGGACCGACTCCGGATGTAACACCCTAACCCGACATGGTGCTACTTTTACTAAAATACTCTTATGAGTCAATGAACATTAAATACATTGAAAGATAGCGGAAGCGTCGTACTAAAGAAAACAGTAGACATAAAAGTCAACATGGTTTGAAACATCCTGACGTAATAAATATCATCGTAAAATCACATCAAGCCTCTAGTCCCACTAAAGTACTGAACTTAACTTCTTCCTTCTGGAGTGCACTTGAGCCAATGATGTTGAATCCATATGCGTGCATATGTGCTTCTATCATTCCTGAATGCGGGCGTTGGGGTCAGTCCTAATCCTATATTCCATTCTTGACATATAATATAATATGAACCAACATGCATATTTGTGCAAATACTCATGTAATGCTCGTGTATGAAAATGATTACATGACTTGTAAATGGTTACCTTGAAATGGATATTCTTATGAGTTCTTATGAAAGGGGGCCCCGGGCTCGACTTAACTAGCACGCCACCACGATCACCGACATACTTGAACATGATCTTATTACCCAGGAGTAGGGTTCGTAACCTCCTTATTACCCAGGAGTGGGGTTCGTAACCTCCTTTTTACCCAGGAGTAGGGTTCGTAACCTCCTTAATCATAACATGAGGTGACCGTGTGCGGCTAGCTAAGTGAGGGTTAAAACATGATCTTGCTTACTTACTGAACCTACTTGCTTGACATGATGATCATCCTCCGCTCAATGGGAGATCCAATCTTATGACTTCCTTAACTTATAAAATCGTACTTCTTTTAAAAGTAACTTGACTTGCTTAAAACATATGTATCCATGAAAAATGATCATGCTATGCATACTTAAAACATAACTTGTATCGTCTTGTCTTAAAACGTAACTTTGCGATGCAATGCCATGCCATGCTATGCTTAAGAAATGAACATAATTCATAAACTTGGAAATGGATCTTATGAACACATAGCTCAAGCATAAATAGCATTTAAAGACATATCAATTAATTCAAGCAACATGCAGTGTAAATAACTCAGAATGGAATACTAACTAATTCCCCCTCAAACCACGCACCTTATTAGCTTAAGTCGGTCGACCTGATCATTTAGCCACCAACTCAAAGGGTCCATGCTCTAGAGGAGATGATTCGCCTTGTCGACCTATGGCGAATACCGATGTTAGATTGATTGGGTTTTGGATTCTTAGCGACGGTTTTCTCGACGTGGGACTACTTTACAAGATGTGCAAAGACTAATATACCGACGTACTCATCAATTTAATATATTAGAATCATAACTGTAATTCTAATACTCTTATTCAAATTAAATCACCGAATAACTAATTATGATATAACATCCTATATATGTAGTTTAACTTAAGATTCAGTAAACATATTGTGATGTTATTTTACTAATAAATCCCAATACTTGACTGGTCGATCAATTGAAAGGTTATATACTTATCTCACAAACACTATAACTACTTGATTTATTAATAACCCATTACTAGCCTCTTAATCATATTATCATATATGGACCGTAAGCCAAAGTCTAATAAGTCAATAATTTCACCCCTTATACATTTAATTATCTATTTCAATTACCCAACTTACCTACACAATTTATCATACTCAAAAATTAAATAACCAACTCATCCATTGACTCATTACTAATCTTATATAATTATTAACCTAATAGGATCATCTTAAACACAACAATTTCTTAATTATCTATTTAGTCAATGACAAATTACTCCTATTGACATATACATAATTAACACACTAACTTAGCAAATTATAATGTAAAGCATACAACCCATTTAATGACTGTCACAGATATTGTCACTAAAATGGTCAGTGTCGTCCCTAAAGGGTCTGCTACTTACTTTGGTTGGTCAGCCTTTAGCAACCGTCACATTCTGTTGTAAAAGGTCTGCAAATCCTGTCGCTAAGTTCCCAGAATTCTACAAACTCGTAATTAATTGCATAAACGTCGATCTTAATGCAAAGGATCGGGTTTGTTTACCTCTTTGCGTGCCTAGAACTAGATCCGGGTCAGTTGGATCTCTATTCCTTGCTTAGATCGTCATTTAACCACCCCACACCTTCGTCGTTGTAGTTACGGCTTAGAACAAACATCGGTTAGCTAACTACTCAGTCCGAAACTTGAACAGAAATAGTTGGGAATTCGTTGATCTTACCTAATGGACGAGATAGAACACTGGAACAAATGGTCTCCAATTGTCGGCCGGTAGCTTATGTTTGTCGAACCCGGCTCTTGAATCGACTTTCAGGTAACTTTATGATCCAAGGCTTTGGTGTAAAAGAGTGTTTACAGGAGGTTGAGCTTTTCTCTGTTGAACTCGAGTTGGCATGGTCTAATAAAAGGGAGGTGGTGTTGTCGGTTGTAAAGGGAGAAAGGAAGAGGTCTCTTCTCTTATCTAGTTATGAATGAGGATGGGTAATGGGTTCACGAGATGAGAGATGGGGGTGTAAATGAGATGTTGGTGAGTGATTTGACAGGTGCATGTAACTGAGATCACCTCAATTATATGGTTGGAAAAGGGTAATTAGGGAAACACAATGTTAATTTGGATTGGGGTGTTACACCGGATGATGATGTTGTTGCTGCTGCTGGAGGTGCAGGACGTGTAAGTAAGGCACACCGACGGCGGCCGGAAGCTCGAGCAGGTAGCTGCTATAGAGAAGGGACCTCTGGATCAAGCTCCACTGGAAAAGGGTCGACCCTCGGCCTTAGAGCCGCCGAAGGTCAAAGTCCGTCAAGGTACTCGATCCCTCTCTCCTTGAAGTACCAGCTTCATGTTTGTAGAGTGTCTCCACTGGAAATGGCTCGGTCCGGCCAATGATGGAGCACCCCGTCACGTCCACATCAAAGTGTCGGGACAGCCTGGTAATGATGCCCCCCAGATGCATCGTGTCCACTTGGTTCCGCCCCGGACACCTGGCGAAAGTGGTAGCAACCACAGCTCCCAAATGGAGTGGCTCGTTACGATTTCTCATGGAGTGGAGGGAAATCAGCCCTCTATTGGTGATCAAGTGGCCTGCTCTTAGACTGGGAATGACGGACCTAGTGAGCAAGGTGTGCAGAATCCTCAACGAAGTCCGCAGCTTCACCGCATTGGTGTGGCCACGCCCAAACTCGTCGTTCTGGTGCTCGGGGCGATAGAGGGCCTGGAATGCCGCCAGATAGTGGAAGTCGGTGGTGTTCTGCCTCTCCCTCATCGTCATGTAAGTGGGATCGAGCCCCATGGCCAGAGCAAAGTCACCGTATATCAGCACCCGCGACTGACCTCCCAACATGAACTCCACGTAGGGCCGATTCCACTTACTCACCGGGATGATGTGGGAGAAAATGGAGTAGAACTCCATGCAGAGCTCTCGGTAAATGAGCTCGTCCACCTTCAGCAACTGGCGCCACTGGGGATGACAAATAACCCCCGACATTGCCGCCCGACACCTGCACATGTCCAAGTCAAACATCCAGTGATGCCCAACCTCACTATTCATCTGATACTCGAACTTGGCCCCGAACCGTTCGTGGTTCACCAAGTAGTGGATGTACTCATGATCAGTGTCAACCATCATGCAAAACATTCAAACATGCACCATACATGGAAATAATTGTCAAACTCAACTCATCGTGAGGAAAAAGAATCCCCCCCCCCCCCCCCACACTAATGGTTCCACTACGGTTCCATGCCATTGAAAATTTTCCTCAAGAGTGGATTCAAATAATTAAACTCAAGCGCATCGAGGCATGGTTCTAGGTGTTTCACGGATTATCCACATAATATGAAACCCGAACCATGCCAAAACGGCTACCATCCACCACACACATATCAAATATCCACATTCATTCACATTTTTGCACTTGGTGGGCAAATTTCACACTTAAAAGCAATTGGACCTAAATCATGCCCACCAAAGCTCAATTAAGCTCATGCAAACCACATGCAACATTCATTCATCATTGATCAACTAATCCCTCGCCCTATTTCTACATTCGACAATCAATTCATTAAATTCACCCCACTTAACACCCTAATACGATTCTCCAACAAATACAATGCTAAGGTCGAAAACAAACCTGGAGACTCAAGTAGGATCGAAGGGGAAATGAGGAGAGGGCGAGGGAGCCAAAAAATAACACGAAAACATGCCGGAGAGGTGTCGTCGGAGCTTCGCCGAAGGCTCGCCGGAAATCGCCTCTCCAGAAAAAACCAGAGCCAAATCTCCCCAAAGTTGCAGTGAAGGTCGCCCTCGACGTGGGAAGACTGGGTCTGTGATTGGTTTTGGATTTGGGTCGCTAGAGGTCGATGAAATTTACGAAATTCTTCATAAAATCGTTGTTTTCAGGCGAATTTGAAAGGATTCCGGCGAAAATTTTGGGCCGTGAAGATGAGGGTTTCACGCCCCTTTATAGGCAGAACCCTCAGTTCACGAACGCGTTGCTCAGTTCACGGTCGCTAAGATCGTGAACATAACTTGTAGACCGCGAACCGGGATAAAACATCGAGTTTTGTAAAACGCGGAAGCACCGTGGTTCACGCACGCATTCATCAGTTCACGATCAATTACGACAGCGAATTGCAAGCGCAAACCGTGAACTGAAGTGAAAATATGGTAAAGACCTGGCACGGAGATAGCAACTCGACCACTTAACTCTTCACTCAAACACAAAAAGAGAAAATCAGGAAAAGAAAACAAACCTATGTTGGGTTGCCTCCCAACAAGCATTAAGTTATCATCATTAGCTTGACGGTTGCGGATCTATCACGGCTTTGAAGGTGAGGCAACCGAGAGTGGATCCGCACAAATCTCGGGGCTAGGCATGTCGCCTCCCAACTTAAACTCCTTGGGGTGGCCTTCTTGGTCGATGACTTTCGCTTTGCCCTTCTCCTTTCTCCGGGGAATAGCGTGATTCATCATTTCCCTCCAAGCTTTCTTCCTCCTTTCTTTGGGTGTGATACCCTCTTGATTTCCTGCTTCACATCACCACAAGGAACAACAGTAATAGTGAGGTTCACCTTGAGAGACTCTCCTCCACTTGCATTCATATCATTCGATTTCACTTCCTTTACATCCTCACTCCTAGGCTTGGGTTCAATTCCAAGAGTAATTTTCTCCTCACCGTCTCTCAGAATCAAAATTCCCTCATTAACATCGATTAAAACCTTGGTGGTGGCAAGGAAGGGGCGTCCTAGTATGAGTGGCATTTTCGAATCTTCACTTATATCAAGGATTACAAAATCCATCGGATAACAGAATTTTCCCACTCGTACTAGCACGTCCTCCACAATGCCCCTAGTAGATTTAGAATTATTATTTTTAAGTGTCGTGTTTTGAAAAATATATTATTTTCGAAAACAGTCTCCATACTGATGTTTTTGTTCATTATTTAACAGCATAAACAAGAAGTATAATAGAACAACTGACTTTGAATGTATCAAAATAGTGGAATTTAAAGTAAATAATGACATGAAGTATTCCGAAAATTGAAGCACGGGAAGCACCTCCCACAGCAAGCACAGAAGTCATCAAACCAATAAGCCATATATGATATAACTGAAGAAAGAGGTCATCTCATCTCATCGGCCAACCTAATTACCTAACCAGCAGGGCCGTGATCAATGATCGCCATCACCATCAACTTACGTATACCAGTTTTGTCTGTCTTGAATCTTGATACGTACGTGATGCAGGCCTTAATTACTTGTATTATGACAACCACCCTCTGTATTATTATTATTATTATGTCACTTTCACCATTTGCATGCAGTTATTGAATCTTCGTTAGGTTTACACTTTACAGTACTAGCATTAATGGATTCCATACGGTAAGTAAATGGTGGAGGAATGTATCAATTGAACCGTCTTTCAACTTTTTGCATTATAATTAAATTCAGTGGACGTAGGGTAGTGGAGAAAAAGAAAAGAGAAGGGAAATCACTATCGAGACCTACTAAAGAGCGATGGAAGAGCTCATGACCTGACTTGACTTGCACGGCACTTAAAGAAATTAACTGACTAGGGTGTGTTATGAGTGAGTGAGTGTGGTATTGTGGGGGAAGAGGAGAGGTCGCTGTAGCGTCCAGTGAACAGTTACTGGTAGCTAGAGAGGCGCATTACACATCATTAAATTTGCAGATAAAAGGTGGTGAGAATTTTATAAGGATACTATTTTGTTATGAAATTGTGCTAAACATTGGAATTTTTCTGCATCCTCCTCCTATGCAACTCGTAGTCAAGAATCGTGTTTTAAACCTTGCAAATTTACGCGTTTAAGTTTTTAGTTTACTAAAGCGTTTCTATGCAAAAGATCAAGTTTTTTCTCTGCCTAATGTAGTCAAAATCGTGCTATAAAAGTTTAAAATTTACACGCTTTTATGTTTTTAAATCACCAAAACGTTTGTAGTAAAAATTGCGCTTTTCTCATACTAATGTAGTAAAAAACGTACTTCTAAAATTAAAACCTTATGCTTTTACGATTTTAAACCATCAAAACTCTTGTACGCAAAATTGAGTTGTTTTTACTCTACATAGTTACTCACTCAATTCACTCACTCTACTCACTTTCGACTGTTACGTGGTTGGATTCATGGTAAGCATCGCCAGCAAGTCTCTGTGTAGGGCCTTACTTACGTGACTCCATTTTTTATTCATGTGGTACATGGGGTCACACGAACATAGAGTATCTATCAGTGTTTTAGAAATGCAATCCTATCGGACGGTACGATTAGAAATACTAGTAAGAATGGTAAGTGGATTTAACAGTACAAAATGATCGAACCACGATTTTATTACAAAATATCTTATTTTTGACTTTTGATATAATTTCTGGTAAAATTTCACAATATTTGGATTATATAGTATCGGAGAAAAATCACAAAAAATATTGTAGTTGATGACTCAAATTAGCATAAACTAGAAGGAAGAGAGAGGGTAACAATGATGATTTTAGAAAGAAACAAAAATAACGAAGAGAAAAGATGGCATATCATTTGAATTTGGTGAGGTTGTGTGGAAGTGTGAGGTTGTGTGGAAGTTGTGAGGTTGTGTGGAAGTACTTTGCGTCGTAGAAAAAAAAAATGCTTCGAGGAGCTCTCTCCTCTCTCCGCGTCTGGTCCTTCTGGCTTGGCGGCTGGTTACGGAGAATCCTCTCTTCTTTCTTCTGGACTAGCGTGATGAATCAGGACGGCGTTTGGCTCCGATCTGATGTGGACACCCTATTCGCCGGTAGTATTCATGGTGATGAGGCGGTGCAGGAGAGACGACGGCAATGGCCTTTGGTAAGAAGATCTCATCCGGCCAGAGGCCCTCCTGGGTCGGATCGCCATCCCTATAGGGGGTGCCGCAAACGGAAACAATCGTCGGGGCGGGATGAATCAAATCCCTCGCCGGATGTTTTATACTCAATGCACAGCCCTGCAACAAAAAAATGCAAAGTGGCTCGTATAAAAGAATGGAGATTTTGGCTCCCTTCGTC